GTGGGGGGGGATGCTTGAAGGCCGGGCTCCGTGTCGGCTGGGGGGTGGGGAAGGCCCTTCTCTCTGAGCTGCTGCTCTTCCTCCATCTGATGACAGGCGTGATGTTTCCCTCCCCTGTCTCTGCTCGCTCATCAGTGACAATCCAAACAATCCAAATATCACACCAACGATGGTACACTTAGCTCCTTTCTTATATCGCCTCCTAGCTTTACACACATGCCGCCTTAGCCCTGGCAGCGGTCATGACAGCTGGATTCAGGCTTCCTGGGGGCTTGCTGGATGAGGCCACCTGTGTAGACATACGATTCCTGGATCTTCTCCCTAAGACTGTGGTTCTCAACCTCTTAATGCCACGGCCCTTTAATATAGTTCCTCAGGTTGTGGTGACCCCCCCCCCACACACACACCATAAAATTATTTTTGTTACTACTTCATCACTGTCATTTTGCTACTGTTATGAATCGGGCGACCCCTGTGAAAGGGTGGTTCTACTCCCAAAGGGGTCGCGACCCACAGGTTAAGAACCGCTGCCCTAAGAGATTCTATTTAGTTCAGTTGAGGATTGGGCCCCGGAGTGTCTCTCTTATGCAATCTTCCTGGCTGCACGCCCCCTGGTGCATGGTGAGGCCAGAACGCACTGCCAGGCACTGCAGCCTTCGGCACCCAAGGGCTGCGGTCATGTTATTTGCGGTCAGGTTATTGGCATTGGTGGTAAACCTTTCACGCGCTGGGCACACCTGATAATCGTCTTTCTTTTCAGGAACAGCGCTTAAAGTTTTTGAAACAACAAGATCAGCGGCAGCAGCAACAGGCTGCCGAGCAGGAGAAGCTGAAAAGGCTGAAAGAAATCGCGGAGAGTCAGGAAGCTAAGCTGAAGAAAGTGCGAGCGCTTAAGGGCCACGTGGAACAGAAGAGACTGAGCAACGGCAGGCTGGGTGAGTTGCTGCTCCCATACCAAAGTCTGTGTGGTGTTGGAAGACACGCTGGCTCGTCAGGAAGAAGAAGAGGATGACCAAACTTTGTAGATAATGTTAGAAGAATGCTTTTGAAACGGGAAGAGCGCGAGAGTTAAAGGCAAACTAAATCACCTTGACTGTCATTGGGTCACACTGGCTCATAGCAACCCTATGGGACAGGGTGGAACTGCCCCCACGGGAGAGACTAACAGTAGATGGGGGTAGGAAGTCCAGTCTTGTTCCCGCAGAGCAGCTGGTGGTTTCAAACTGCTGACCTTGCAGACCGCAGCCCAGCGTGTAACCACGAGGCCACCACGGCTTCTGAGTTAAGGGCAGCTGAGGTCAATGCTGTCACAGGCACGGTCCTGCAGTTACAGGGTCTGAGTAGGTGCCTGGGTGGCACTCAGGCTGTACACATGTGTGAAGGTGAGTGGGACCAGGCTTGGAAATACATGAGGTCCGACAGAGGATATTTGTAACTGTGTAGCTACTTCTGCTGCCAAGGGGCAAAGGTTTGAAAACTTCTTAGACAGAGTCAAAGCCCTTGAGGGAAGGAGCCTCTGGGGCATCAGGAACATAGTCCTGGGAGACACCAAGGTTAATTGTCATAACGTTGTCCACAAAGACAATATTCTGCAACCTAGTATGGTGATTAGTGACGGGGCTCATAAAAGCTTGTGCAGCTTAGGTGCGGCTGTTGGTCTGTCCTTGTCGAGGCAAGAGGGGAAACAACGAGACACATGGAGCGATTCGTCTTCTGGACTGATAGAACCCAAACCCACTCACCGCCATCGAGTCCCAGCCGACTCACTCATGGCCACCCTACAGGACAGGATGGGATGTCCTCGGGGGTTTCCGAGACTGCAGCTCTTCATGGGGGTTAGAAACCTCATCTTTCTCCCGAGATGGACCACATGACCCTAAGACCAGAAGAACGAGATGGTGCCCGGCTACAAGGCCTGCTGCTCTAAAAGGGACCACGTTAGAAATTCCCAGATAGAGTGAGAGAAAAATGTGGACTGACACCCCTAGAATCCTAAAACACACCCACTAGGCCTGCTGCAGACGAGAGCCCTGTATCTTCAGAAACGAGCTCACCCCGGGGCTCAAGGTTCACCCGAGCAGCAGACAAGTGTACAAGGGGAAGAGTAACACGGGGAAGTGGGCACCACTTAGAATCATCGTTGGAATACCGTTGTGAGATCAACAGGTGGCCTTTACCCAAGGTCAGGATTCAGGAGGATTGAGAGAGGAGGAGGAATGGAACCAGGAACCCCAGGGAGGCAGTGGGATTGAGGGGATGGCAGTCAGTGAGCAGAAGTCAAATAGGTATGAATCGTTGGATGGGAATCGGACCTGTTCCGTCAACCGTCTGCAGTTCACAGTCACAAATGGAAACATTGCGGGTGGGGAGTGTGGATCCACTACAGTTCTGATGCTGCTGACTCCTGTCAATTGAAGTCGTTTGTAGACTGTTTTAGGAAAGTTTCTAAGTTACCTTTGAAAAATGTGGTCTCCCCTTGTCACCTCCCCCAATATTTTTTTAATGAGAAGTGGGTTGGGATTTGTGTGTGTGTGTGTGTGATTTTTATGGATTTTATTGTTATGAAAAAACAAACCAACCCAAAAAGCACATCTTTGCCGAATACAGGCTGTGGACGTTTCTCAGGAAAACAGACCCAGCTCCGAGGTGTAACTTCCGCTGGCTTTCAGTCATACTGAACAGGCCCCGTTTAAACGTGGGAGACCGTTGGTGTACCTTCAGAAACTAACGTCGTAGCCGCGGTGAGGTCATTCTCCGCTGAGCTTGCTTCTGCCATGAGTGTGGTTTTTCTTTTTGACTCCAGTCAGGAGAGAGCTTTCTTTCCCTCCTTGACCGGAAGTTCTGATTAAGGCAAGGGTTTTATTTACTTAGAGCTGTTCATGTTGTTTCAGTTGCTTCTGAAAGAAATAGGCTGGCTTTTGGGCACCTCTGAGAAGTCCCTTTATTCCGATGAGCAAGTTCATTGTAAAGCTTGGTTGCCACAAAAGAACTTCTTTCTTGTTCCGATTTTCACGCGCATGGCTCTCCCCTCTCCCCCAGTGGAGGAGATCGAGCAGATGAACAGCGTGTTCCAGCAGAAGCAGAGGGAGCTGGTCCTGGCCGTGTCCAAGGTGGAGGAGCTCACAAGGCAGCTGGAGATGCTCAAGAACGGCAGGGTCGATGGCCGCCAGGACGGCCAGTCTGCAGTGGCCGAGCTGGATCGCCTCTACAAGGAGCTGCAGGTAAACCTGCTGGGCTGCCAAACGCTGCGCGACTTACTCCCTAGCCACTTGACTTCTAGCCCGTGGTTGGTGGGCTGAGCTCTGCCCTCTGGCAGTTCTGTTTCTTACTCATGGGTCACCCAGTGAGTCAGCGTCAGCTCAGCAGCCGCTCCCAGCCTCTCAGTCACTTGCTGTCACCCGTGCGGCCGAGGAGGACTGCGCTCCAGGTCACTTGCTGTCCTTATTACCCCTCCCTCCCTCCCTCTGTTCTTTCCTTCCGTTCTCTCGCTCGCTCTCTATTTAACTTAAACCTTTAATTTAACATCCAATTATTTTCATTTACTTTCACACTGTGGTTTGGGTAACAGTTCACCAAGCAAATTTGCTTTGCATTCAACAATTTGTCCGCGCCGTCTCATGGCCCTGTGATGCCCCCTCAGTGTCACATTCTCTTCCTCTTCCTCCCTGGGCTCTCTCTTTCCTGCCCTTCTTCCTTGCCCCGTTCTGCCTTCAGGGGTTTGGGGGCAAATGCTACCCGTTTGGTGTAGTGGTTACACCGTCAGCTGCGAACCGCAAGGTGCAAGGTCGATAGTTTGAAATCACCAGCTGCTCCAAGGGAGAAAGATGAGGCTTTTTGGACCGCAGGGCCAGTTCACCCTGTCCAGGAGGGTCACTGTGAGTCAGAACAGAGTCGATGGCAGTGAGTTCGGTGTGTGTACCCTGCATTTGTTTTTCTCCACTCCTGTGAGGGTCTTCTGCCTTCCCGAGCAGACTGGTGGGCTGTGGTGGCCTGGCACCGTTGAGTTCTTCGGGTTTTCGGTGCCGGAGGCTTAAGCTTCACATGGTCCATTCATCCTTTGCACTACTTGTTTCTTCGAGTATTCCATTTTCTTCCATTTCCCCACTTCCAAATGGGGAGGAACTAATTTTAGATGGATGCTGGCTAGCTTTTTAGACCCCCGTGGTGATTCGGCACAGCACTTCCGTGGTCCGTTCCCCCCCACACACACACACCAATGCCCCGTGACTGATTTTTTGAAATTAGCCCTTTCTTGGAGGAGCCTCTGGGTGGACTTGAACCCCTACCCTCTCAGTTGGCAGCCGAGAGTGTAACAGCCCCGCCCCGGACTCCTGAGGGGCAGAAAGCTGTTCATGTAAGTGGCAGAAGGGACTTGCTTGCGGTGGCTTTTTCCTTTGAGGGAAGGGCGCCTAAGCCCCAAAGACCCAGACTGGACTGTGTGTGCTCAGATCGCAAGTTCAAGTCCTTTCTCGCAGCTGTCACGTTGGCCTCACACAGGTGCTCCTTCCTTTCAAACCCAGGGGAGACCGTAGCAGGCCGGAGGCACCTTTGCGGTTTTAGAAATTATATCATGGTCTCCATGTGCTCATCTGAGAACTTCTTCCTCCTGCTCCTGGGCTACCCCCCCAAACAGCTGAGAAACAAGTTGAATCAGGAGCAGAATGCCAAGCTGCAGCAACAGAGGGAGTGCTTGAACAAGCGCAATTCAGAAGTGGCCGTCATGGACAAGCGCGTGAACGAGCTGAGGGACCGGCTGTGGAAGAAGAAGGCAGCTCTCCAGCAGAAGGAGAATGTGCCAGTAAGTGGGCGGCCGGGCGAGGGGGCAGGCGGTCAGCTGGGCCTCAGCGGCTCTCCCGGAGGCGTTGCTAAGCAGGCCCTCGGACAAGGGAGGCACTGTCGGGGATGCTGCCGAAGCGGCCGATACTCTTTCCCCGGTTACTGCTGTGGCCGGGGAGCTGGCGTTTCATTTGGAGGCTTGGAGCACAGTATGGGTGAGACCTCGCTGTGAGTGCATTTGTTTGGGGGAGTCTTTGTGGATTTGGGCCTAGCTCCTGAAGGTGCTTGTTTGAAAAAAGGAAAACAAAAGATGCCGATTTAAGAGGCCTGCCTCTTCCAGAGCTCAAGGTCGTGCAGTCCGAGCATCCGGAGCCCCACAGGACCTGCGCTCTCTTCCCCAGGCCTCCCCTGACGGGAACCTCCCCCAGCAAGCGGGTGCAGCGCCCAGCCGCGTGGCTGCCGTGGGCCCCTATATCCAGTCTTCTACCATGCCGCGGATGCCCTCGAGGCCGGAGCTCCTGGTGAAACCAGCCCTGCCGGATGGCACCTTGGCCATGCAGGCTGCCGAGGGACTGATGAAAATGCAGACGCTGCCAAACATGAGAGCCGGGGCCGCCCAAGCGAAAGGTAAAACTCGGCGCTTCCCAAGCCCGTCCACCGCTGCCATCCCCACCCTCACCTTAAAGGCCATCTCCTAAGTTTGGCTTAAGAAGAAAACAACAAAAACCTTGTGGATTGTATCTCTCATTCATTTTTTAATTCTAAAAAACCCTTTGTATTAGTGCAATGCGTTTCTTTTTAACTCCTGCAAAGCAGTACGGTATACTAATTTTGCACCCCTGACGATTGTCTTGTTGATGAGGGCAGTTGGACCGACTGCTAAGAAAGAACTTGGGGCCGTGTCTTTTTGGGTAAAAGTCCAGCTGCACCAGTCGTCAGTGGAGCCAGGCGTTAAGGAACGTGAGGGTGTGACTATTCGGTGGGTGGTTGATTCAGTACTGGTGGGTGCTCATGCGGGGACTTCTTAAAGGCAGAAGCCTTGGGAGGTAAACAGTCTGAAGACAGCTCCTCGCCTTGTGTGGTTGTGTTTATCGGCCAGGCTGGCACAATAAGCTGTCTCAGTGGTTAAGGGATGCCACCTTCTGTATCTCTGTGTTCTGTGTCGGCCTGGGATAGCTGGGGAGTGACCACATTAAAGTTTATAGCGGGAGGAGAAAGGGGGAACTTGGGGGAAAATGCATCCTTTAATGATCTTATCATTTAGACCCCTGGGAAGAAAAAGGTCATAATTTTTTTCTTCTTCTTAACCACTGTTGTGTAAAGTGCAGCAAATTTAAAACCCATTCATTATTTTGCTGTAATGACTACTGTGAATAAACACCGCTCTATTGGAAAGGAGTCAGTGTTGTGCCCGTAAGCATATTCAAGCCTGAGCTTTGACAGAAAAGTGCCCGTGTAAGAAAAGCCCTCAGTACTCAGGGTGTGTGGCAGTCATGGGTTGAAGGTCAGCTCCCCCTTTTGGTTGTGCCTCTCTCTTGGGGGGGGGTTGTTGATTAGGTGAGGTTCGTGCTGGGCCCTGAGTTGAACTGCATCGGGCACCCTCATCAGGGTGATGTTTTCTTACACAGTGAGAGGTGTGCCCCCTCGCTGGTTAGCTCTGTCTTTGCATTTGATAGAATTCATTTAAACTTGCACGAGTAAGGGGGACATGTTGACTTAGAAATAGGAATCTGCTCCAGTGTCTTCTAAATAAAGATATTCAACATTATTGTGAGCCTGAATTTGGAAGCTGTTTTTCAAAGTTAAAATCCTTAGTAAGATGAGTCATTAAAAAACTTCTTAAGAGTACGGGGCTATTTATAGCTGCTTCCCTGAATTCTAGGCTCGAAAATCCACCCGGTCGCCCTTGAGTGGAATCATTCAAATGCAGACCTTTTCCCCAGCCAGAGTTTTGCTCCTGGACCTACAAGCCCAGGGAGCGCCCCGGAACAAGGTAAGGGTGGTCTGTGATGCTCCTGAACACAATGGACTTTTTGGTCATCTACAGAGGGCTGTGCATTCCCTTTTAAAAAGATCGTCTTATATTGGGGGCTCATACAGCTCATCGCAATTCATATGTACATCCATTGTGTCAAGCTCATTTGTACATTTGTTGCCCTCATCAATCTCAAAACATTTGCTTTCCCCGTGAGCCCTTGGAATCAGCACCTCATTTTTTCCCCCGCCCTCCCTCATGAACTCTTGATAATTTACAAATTATTGTTATTTTACACAACGTGTTCTTAGACGTTGGTTGTCATCCTAGCCGTGGGTCAGTCCTCTCCCCATTTCCACCACTGCTGCCCTCCCCCCCTCCCCCCTGCCTTCCTGTTTCCACTCACCCAGTCTCCCTGCTGAGCTGCCCCTCTGTGGTTTGGGGCAAAAGCTTATCTATTTTTAAAGATAGTTTTATTTTCAGTGTGCTAAAGCTGTATTTAGTGTTTTGGTTTTTTCCCAGGATACCTTTCCTTTAGCTGAGAACTAAGCTAAATTGTAGCACTTGGAGGATTCTTTTATTGACTTATTTTACACAAAGGAGACGCACTGAATTTGTATGTTTGAGACCTATGGTGGGGGGAGGCGCAAGGAAACTTAGGAGCAACAATACTTGTGAGGGGCAGAGGAATTCTGTCGGGCAGTTTGAAAGTGAGCGTGGTGTTCTGCCTGCAGGTGATGATGGGGAGATCTCGCTGAGGGAGAAGGAGAAGAAAGTTCGTCCCTTCTCCATGTTTGACACGGTAGACCAGTCTGCTGCCCCGCCTGCCTTTGGTGCCTTGAGGAAAAATCAGAGCAGCGAAGATATCCTCCGGGATGCGCAGGTATTTCCAGAACACCTGGCTTTGAAGGCTCAGTAGCAATTCTTTGTGTGTTCAGGAGGACAGTAGACGTAACGCGTAACAGCATCCTGCTATTTTTATTTCTGTTGCTTGAATATATTGTGGTCTCGCCTGAGACAAGAGTGACTGAAGCAGCTGAGTCATGCTTCATGTGATCCCCTAGGAAATGCAGCTGCTTCCGAGAACCTTGTATGTGTGCTCTTCACGTACCTTAGGTCTTTGGAATTTGGAGCTAAGATTGTATCAGTGATTTAATGGTGACTCTTGTGTAGCTTTGTACGATACTAGCCTTTGGTAACCAGGTTATAGGTTACATACTGCAAAATTAGCAAGGTTTTTTTCCCCCTTAACTGCAATGGTCTGGACTGAATGGAGTTCTAATGAACAGGAATGTGTTTTATTTCCTGGTATGTCTGTGTCTATAAGATGAAAAGTTTTCAAGTGTGCCGTATCGTTGCCTGAACAGGAGGTGGAGGCCAGGAGGGGAGGGATGGCCCCGCATTCCTAAAGTCCACTACTAAATCTGATTTAGTCCAGAGTGAACTTGTTAGCGCTTTAAACCTGTTCAGAGGTTAACATTTTTAGCAGGGTAAGAATAAACTGCCCTTGTGGAACTAGGGCACGTAGAACGTCCTCCTCTATAGTCCTCGCATCGTAACCGATTTTCCATTGTGTGTTACAGGCTATAAATAAAAATGGTGTGAAAGTACCGCCTCCGGTTCCTACTAAACCCAAACAAATTAGTTTGCCGTACTTGGGACAAACGAATCCGCCACCGTCAGACAGTAAGGCCGATGGCAGCCCTCAGCAGTATTCAGCAGCTGTGGCATCCGTGGGAAATAAACCCAAAATGACAGGACCACGGCAGCAGAGGGTCCTGCTGTCTCCCAGCATGCCTTCAGCTGGCCAAGACCAAGCCCTTTCTCCAGGTTCCAAGCAAGAAAGTCCACCTGCTGCCGCTGTCCGGCCCTTTACCCCTCAGCCTTCCAAGGACACCCTCCTCCCCCCCTTCCGGAAGCCACAGACCGTGGCAGCAAGCTCAATATATTCCATGTACACCCAGCATCAGGCTCCTGGGAAAAACTTCCAGCAGGCCGTGCAGAGTGCGTTGACCAAGACACACAGCAGAGGGCCACCCTTCTCGAGTGGTAAGCTGCTGGCTCTGACTTTGACCCGCGGAGATGGCGAAGATGTATGGGTGAATGGTCAGCAACCAGAGCGTCCATCTGCTAACAGACGGCAAACTAACCCGTGTCTGTCTGTGGCGGGGCCTTTGTTCCACGAGTTTTGTGTCACTGTGGCGTCTTCCTAATTGCATGCTGAAGAGTGAGCTGGCTGGCAGTCAGCTGCCGCAGTGACACTGAAGGCAGTGGAGGAGGGAAAGGTGGCTGGCAGTCAGCTGCCGCAGTGGCACTGAAGGCAGTGGAGGAGGGAAAGGTGGCTGGCAGTCAGCTGCCGCAGTGGCACTGAAGGCAGTGGGGGAGGGAAAGGTGGCTGGCAGTCAGCTGCCGCAGTGGCACTGAAGGCAGTGGGGGAGGGAAAGGTGGCTGGCAGTCAGCTGCCGCAG